AAAGATAAATGCAAAAGTACAGATAATAAAAAGGACCACAAAGAGACCATGACAAGGTGTGTGGGGGAATGTCAGGTGCCACTTTTTATTGAATATTGCTATGAACTGTACCACATCACTGACAAACTGTGGCTGTAACATTTGATAAATGTCAGTGGCTTAGGCGTTCCGAACGCGCTTCGTAATGCCGGGGTGCTTCGACCATGGTACCAAGAGCCGACCATCCAGAAAGCAATGGCAAACTACCGGACGTAAATTTGTCTAGAAAAACCACAACAGCCAGAAAGTGCTGGGCTTGGTTCTGCAACGTTCTGTAAAGGATACGCAACAATTTTTTTTATATATATATATATATATATATATATATATATATATATATATATATATATATATATATATATATATATATATATATATATATATATATATATATATATTTGTTTTGTTTTTTTTGTTGCATTGATATTGAATTGAACACCATTTTCTAATTTGATAAAACAACACAAGTTCATGTTTTATGTGTCATGAAACTTAGTCTGTATTGTTATCAGATAAAATTAGTCAGGCCTGTTTTTTTAACACCACATCTACATTGACATGATGATGATGTCAAACAAAGTAAACCAACTTTTTTGCATTTTATACTGCATTCAGTTTGGTGCAAAAATACACAATGTGATTAGTGTTTGTTGAATAGTGGTGAAGCTATGGCATTTTTTTATGCACTCTAAAGTACATGGTATCTGGAAAAGTGCAAGAGTTAATTGATTTGGTAGTCAGTGGGTTAAAAAGGTCCAAGGGACTTGTCATCAGTATAACGTGTCACCTCTGCACTGTAAGTTGACTCACATGAGTCTGTGTAATACTTTGTCCAATCCACCTGATGATTTTTTTGGGTTAGATAAATGAACTGAATGCCACTACTAGTATTTTTCATTATAAATTTTAGAATGCAAGGTTATCTTGCCATACTTTGATTTATTATCCTTATTTTATCTTGCAGAAACAATAGAGCAGTTGCTGATGAACAGCTTATTGACTGTAAACATGAACATTATCAGCAAGAAATGACATCACCTGACTTTGTCAGTAATCCGAGCAAAGACTACAATTCATTACCCGTAAACCAGCAATACCTCAGTGATAACACTCCTTACAGTGACAGTTGTTTGCGAAGAGACAGAGATGCCCGAAACTCACATTATGAACAAAATTCTTTTAAAGATTATCAGCGGCATCAGAAAACAAATGAACAGAACAGATTTAGTTACCATGAAGAAAGTCGAAGAACTCCACCTGTACAATTTCAGCAGAGCACAAATTATAAATACAGCCAAAAACCAGCAGATGCTTCCAGCTACAGCCCCACTATTAGAAATACCAACAGTGATAGAGAAATACAGTCTCACTCACAGCCAGACAGGTTTTTTGGTCAACAAGGAAGCTATAAGCAGTCCTCTAAACAAGACTCATATAACATACCAAACAGTTACACCCAAAGTAAATCCACAGTGCAGAGGTCATCAGGTCACTTCAGTGACAATTATTATTCCAGTGTAGAAAATTCAGGACAGCAGAAAGCATATATCCAGACCCTCCCTGCCAAATATGGTGAGACAGGGTTTCAGAAGAGAGCTCCCACTTTACCTAGTTACAGTGAAGCACTGAGCCCTCAGAGACAATCTGCTGAGTCTTCCAAATATGATGGAGCTGTGATAAACTCGGTCAAATTAAGCTCAGCACCAGCCCAATCCACTGCCAGGTTTGTACTGTCTCATGATTTATGTCTAGCAAGCGATGGACCAGTTTGTATTGTTCGTAAAATGTTAGCAGAAATGACATACAATGATTGTAAAATACTAGCACAGTTATTACAAATAGCAAGTGTGAGAATATAACACACACATAAAACAAGCAAAAGCACTCCCATAGTTGTCATTGGGATGGGAACTGTTAGGCTGGCACACATTCTAGGCTAAAACTTATGAGATGAGGTGGTCAGTTCTTTTTCTTGCTTTTTCTTCCCAGAAAATTCTGAAAATGGTCTGGATACATTTTATATCCTGCGTCAACCCCAGAATGCACTGGGTTTTAAAAATCCTACCACTTCAGGCAAATGAATTTGGGTCACTCTTGACAGGCAAGACCATTAACCGCTATGCCATTCTGACCCGTCACAGAGATTACATGTAGTTGAGATAGTAACACATACAGGAGTTTAATCAAAGGAGTATAATTTCAAGATGTCTGTACACAGGATATATATTTATATATGCGTACACATGTGCGTGCACACATGCACATCTATGTGTGTGTGTATATACATATATACACACACACACACACACACACACACACACACACACACATATATATATACACACAGAGAGAGAGAAAATGTTTTATAGATGCTAGCGAGATAGCTAGATAGTTATTTTTATTTTTATTATAGAGACATATTTTTAAATAAAAACACATCTACTATTGTCATGCCCATATTCTGACTATGGCAGGCTTATTAAAACTATTTGACACAGCAGTGTTTATTGCAAGTAAAATCATGTGAGTCTAATTTCACTGATCTAATTTTCACTGACAATTATTTGTATCATCAAGCTAATTATTTGGAAATTATCACTTTTGTAATCTATATTATTCTGTATTAGAGTGAACTTTGACCAGTGGTCAACTCCCCCAAGACCAGACTCACGGAAATACGAGAAACAAGACTCGCCCAGTTTTTCTTACTCTGGACAATTGGGCTCTGGAAATGGCTATCCAGGTAGCCGAAATTATCAGAATGGAACACCAAGTTTTGTGCCGTCCCCTCACAGCAAGGGTCGATACATCAATGGATCTTATCAGCCCCAGGTTAGTGTGCTGTGAATATAGTTAGCTACTTCTTAGTTGCTATTGTTCCTTGTGTGGGTTCTGGGATCACCTTGTTTGGAATCAAGAAAATAAGGTAGACCCACTGCCCCAGAACAAACATGTCATAAAAGGTGACTGATTAAACATTTGCTTCTTCTTCTTCTTCCTCCTCCTCTTCCTCCTGCTATTGACCAGCTGTAAACTGTGGCAGAAAGTTCTGATTGTTTGTCCACTTCTGGACGTCGTCTTGTTCCAGAACTTGAATTTTGCATGCACATCCATTTTACAGATCTGGCTTAATTGTATGCAGACTGTTGGTTTACCTCTTGGACAGATGCACTATGACTTTGAAGGAAACCCCTAATTAATTTGTCAAATATTGTGACATGTTTGTTAGGAAGGCAGTGGGTCTGTTAATTTTGTTCCCTGGCAATGGGACCTGGATAGCATTTGTTGAATTTGGATGTGTTGGGCTAAAAGGCACTGATAATGCAGCCTGTAAACCACAGCCCAAAGTGCCAACCACCCTTGTGAAGGAGAACACAGCAGAAGGAGAAGAAGTTGCTGTCTGTATTGTTTAAAAAAAAATCTGTGGTGTGCTGGGCACATGGTGCTACACCTTTATTGTATAGACCAATCAGCACTTGATCAGTGTTCAAATTAAAGTGTGTTGAATGTCAGAGGATCAACGTCATTGCATCAGATTACCCCGTATGACTTGGTCTCTATCCACAGAATAGCTAGCCATCTGCTGAGAGCTTGCACAAAGCACAAACTCCCTAAATCTAGCAACAATTCCCATGGATCTCCATTAAATTTGCACTTATGAACTGAAGAACACCTGGTTGAGGCAAACAGCTTGACCATTGACAGCATAAACACACACCTAAAGGGTGATGTGGTCATCATTATGGCAGCTGTCTTTATTTCCCAAAACATTTCCTTATAATTCTTACTTTAGGCTGGGTTGACCTGAGAGCCAAGATCAATTATTTTAAAAAGAAACTGCATCATTGTAGATTTAAACCCAGGATCTTTCAGCTGATAATCAAGCAGCTAACTAGTGCATTGCCATGACTGCCTGACTTCTCCTATGCTACGTCATTATCCTCTGTAGACTGATCTATTTTGTTGGCATCTGTATGTTATCTGTGTCACTCCTCACGTGTTTTGTTAAAGCTGAATTACTCAATGTTTAGTGCAGCTGCTTATCAAGACAGTGGTCATCGTTCCATTTGCAACGGAGCCAAGATTGTTTGTGGGACTAGTGTTGCTTTGAGGTGGACCCAGTCTCATAAAGAAGACACCAGACAATTTTTGCGCTGCTGTGTGAATTTTCTGGAAAGAGACAGTAGCGAGGAAGAGGACTGGCTACTGCACCTCTGATGGCATGATGTTGAATATCTGTAGGTCTATAACTGTGCAGCCTGCGGGGCAGTAACTGCTATAGGACTTCTTCTTCTTCTTCTTCACTTCCTCTTTTACCGCTGTGGGTGTCGAGGGAGATATCAGGTTCTGTTTCTAGCTCTTCTGGCTGCCTCGACCATAGGCACATCGTTCTGTTGTAGAGTTTCTCTGATGTTATCCTTCCATCTTGTTCTTGGTCTACCCTGTGCTCTACGTCCTTCTTCTCTTTCCATGTATGCTTTGTATGGTATGGTGTCACAAGGCATTCTCTCTAAGTGGGCAAACCATTTCACTTGCTGTCTTTGTATGTAATCCAGAATTGGTTCTGTGCCGACTTGTTCTCTTATGATCTCATTCCTGATCTTATCTCTAATGGTCACTCCTACAGCCCTTCTTAGACATCTCATTACCGTGGTGCTATAGGACTACCTGTACCTTTACATGTTTCTCATGAAACATTCAGTGTAGCAAATAAATCTCAGAATATATTTAATGTAGCAAGTAAATCTCAGGAAATATTTAATATAGCAAGTAAATCTCATAAAACATTCAATGTAGCAAGTAAATCTCATGAAGCATTCAATGTAGCAAGTAAAAACCCATGAACTATTCAATGTAGCAAGTAAACCTCATGAAATGTGTTGAATACAACCAATGAATCACCTGTACGTATGTTTTTCTCACTAAGACATCTTGACTTATTGTCTACACTTACTGAACAGTTTGGTGACAGGCAACAACCTCAGAGCTCCAGCGGCCATTCTTCAGAAAACCTACAGAGATCTCCCTACACCCACAGTGTTAGTCCCATGAAACCAACGGTCAGGCAGGCTTATCCACAGTTCCAGCAGTCAAGCAAATTGAGATCTGATTTAGTAACCCAGATTTAATATTGACTGGGGTGGCACCAATTCTTGCACATAAGTACTCTTTTTTTCTTGATGAAGAATGATGCAGCAGTGGTCATTCAGTATGTCGTATGTATGCCTGAAGCTGTTACAAGGTATATACAGTCATCATACATCAAGTCTGAATAAGGATGGATATTCATTGAAAATAAGATTGAGAAAATGCATTTACTGGGACTTAACAGAATTTGTGTGACAGCTGTTTGACCTGTATATTTCTGAGATAATTAAACACTTATGTTTTAATATATAATTTTTTTTATTTCAATATTCTCAAACTATGTAACAACATGTATTTTTAACTTGGTTATTTTTAATGAATATTGAGAACATCTTTCTTGATAAAAGACAGAGTAGAAAGGAACACACTATGGGGAATCTTTAAAAGTTTTGGTTTGAAAACGCATTTAATAAGCAGAACATTGTATAACAACGGTGAATGTACTGTTAGAACAAATGGAGGACACTCATAAGCATTCACCATAAAATCCTGAATACTGCAGGGCTGTGTCCTGTCTCCCCTTCTCTTCATAACTTACATTGATTAAATCTGTCAAGAAACTTACCTAACAGGGACTATAATATACCAAGAGGAAGAAGATCAAAAATGAAAACTGTTTTATCAAAGAACTACTATTTGCAGACAACCAAGCACTGATTGCTACTTCAAAAGCCAAGCTACAAGACCATATAAATGAGTGAAACCAAATTTGCAAAGAGCATAAAATGAAAATTAACACCAACAAAACAGAGGTCAAGACCATAGCCAAAGCAGACAAAACAATGAATGTCCAGCTAACAGAAAACCCTCTGGAACAAACCAGAAACTTCAAATACTTATGAAGCATAATATCATCAGTTGAGAAAACAGAAGGTGAGATTGAAGACACTTGTAACAAAGCAAACCAACTCATTGGGAAAATGGCACAGTTCTAAGAAACAAACATGTATTAGTGGAAACCAAAAGAGCACTCTATGACAGTCTTCTTGCCAACTCTGTGCTATCAATGCCAGACCTGGACAATGACAGAAAAAGAGAAAAGAAAAATTACAGCAACTGAAGTAAGATTCCTGTGAAGGGCTCTCAATATATCAATATAACAAGAAGAGATACAGTTGAAACTATGAAGTCTTAATGAAAATGGGGGTAGCAGGAGCTCAGGATTTCATTGGAAGACAACAGGTGAAATGGTTTTGCCATGTGGATGTCAGCTGACAGTATACCACGGCAAGCAATGATGTGGATGTCAGCTGACAGTATACCACAGTAAGCAATGATGTGGATGTCAGCTAACAATATACCACAGCAAGCAGTGATGGTGATGTCAGCTGACAGTATACCACAGCAAGCAATGATGTGGATGTCAGCTAACAATATACCACAGCAAGCAATGATGTGGATGTCAGCTGACAGTATACCACAGCAAGCAATGATGTGGATGTCAGCTAACAATATACCACAGCAAGCAGTGATGTGGATGTCAGCTGACAGTAGATTACAGCAAGCAGTGATGTGGATGTCAGCTGACAGTAGACCACAACAAGCAGTGATGGGGGATGTCAGCTAACAGTAGACCACAGCAAGCAATGATGTGGATGTCAGCTGACAGTATACCACAGCAAGCAATGATAGTGATGTCAGCTGACAGTAGATTACAACAAGCAGTGATGGGGGATGTCAGCTAACAGTATACCACAACAAGCAGTGATGGGGGATGTCAGCTAACAGTAGACCACAACAAGCAGTGATGGGGGATGTCAGCTAACAGTATACCACAACAAGCAGTGATGGGGGATGTCAGCTAACAGTAGACCACAACAAGCAGTGATGGGGGATGTCAGCTAACAGTAGACCACAACAAGCAGTGATGGGGGATGTCAGCTAACAGTAGACCACAACAAGCAGTGATGGGGGATGTCAGCTAACAGTAGACCACAACAAGCAGTGATGGGGGATGTCAGCTAACAGTATACCACAACAAGCAGTGATGGGGGATGTCAGCTAACAGTAGACCACAACAAGCAGTGATGGGGGATGTCAGCTAACAGTAGACCACAACAAGCAGTGATGGGGGATGTCAGCTAACAGTAGACCACAACAAGCAGTGATGGGGGATGTCAGCTAACAGTATACCACAACAAGCAGTGATGGGGGATGTCAGCTAACAGTAGACCACAGCAAGCAATGATGTGGATGTCAGCTGACAGTAGACCACAGCAAGCAATGATGTGGATGTCAGCTGACAGTATACCACAGCAAGCAATGATGGTGATGTCAGCTGACAGTAGACCACAGCAAGCAGTGATGTACAGACCAGGCAGGTACCAAGAAGAGGCCAACCATGCCACCGATGGACAGATTGAATTACTAAGACCCTGTGAATCCCAATTTACAAAGCACAAAATGGGCTCTTTTTGGTAAATCATACTTCACTTTGACACCGCAAGGTAAAAGAGGAGCAGGATGAGATGAGAGTATCATGGACAAAAATTAAATGACATTTGAGGTTTTGACAGTTGCAGAGGTTACTGTCAGATTATTCTCATTTAATGAAACCTAAATAATTCTTTCCAAATGTATAAGAAATGTTTACTGCATGGAGGGGGAAGTATTGGTATCATGGGCAGAAGAATATCAGTATCTCACACTTTTGCCATAACTGGACAGTAGTTTGTGGTTTAGTATTTGATGGGAGGCAGTTGCTGTTGTCAGTCCTAATGACTGAACAGTCTCTTTAGTGTTATCAGTCCATCTACATGGGTGTCATTGTGTTGTCATAATCTGATCTCCTTAGATGCAATGCCTGTAACTCATATTGCTATATCCTGGTGAGATGAGCAAACCACTTGTTCTTCTGTTTCTCAGTGTGTTTGGTACAGAACATTCTTCCCACAGTCTGTTTGATAGTAACTGTTCTCTCTCTCTCTCTCTCTCTGTTTTGGTTGATTATTAAGTTGGTGGCTTTCTATGGCACCTCATCTCAACTGGTGTTTTTTCCTATTTATCATCTTTTGCTTTACAGCTAAAGTTGGCTTGGTTGTCTTTATAACAGAAACATGTCAGAGTGAACCTTGAGAAAAAATAAGCAATGCAAAAACACTAGCAAAAATAAAATAAGGAAAAGAAACTAGAAAAAAAAGGATAAGTGCATAATTTTTTTTTTAAAGTTACTTTAAGACATACACTAATTTACTAGAAGAAGTAAAGATACCAGAATAGGAAAGATTCTTTAGGTCACTGGAAAAAAGGAAAGATACCAGAATATGAAGGACACTTTAGGCACTAGATGAATGAACAAGCACAAGATGGAGAAAAGCTACTAGAAAAGGGGTAAAAATTATGGGAAGAATAAAAGATACTATCATGGGAAAGACACTTTATGAATAAAATAGGCTATAAAAGCTGCAATGGCATTGTGGATGGTGTGCTTGCCAAAAAGACAGTGATTCCAGTTCAATCCCCAGCAGTTGCAGCATCATTGCTTCCGACCAGTACGGCTCTGGGGTTGACTTAGTCTTTATGCTATGCCTAGAACAGTTTAAAGCATAACCACCCCCCCCTCCCTTCCCCCCCCCCCCACCAAACAGCAGAATTATATAATGTATGTCTTATATATTTGACTGGCAACAGTTATATGAACTTTGAATTTATGCATTAAATAACTGACTGAAGATATTAGTAATAGAATAGTAGGGATGGGAGTGGTTTAATTAATGTAGCCAGAACTTCTTAATAAGACAGTTTGAATTTAGTGGAATGTTAAACAGAAATTTTTTTTTTCCTCAATATTAATTCACTATAACACTTTGTGCAACCAAATATTACAGTGACTCCTTTGACAAGTTACTGCACAACGTAATTTAGTTTAGCACAGCTTCATTGCACATAGGTAGAACAATTAACCTTATGTACCTATTGAAGTGCTGACAGAGTGTGTGACTGATGATGGCTTTTTACATTTAGTTGATCCCTTTGTGTACAGTGGATACCAAAGAAATCTGATTCTCAGTTGGTATTGTGTAAGGTTCAAAATGGCTGTATGTAGCATGAGTGGATACCCAGCATCAGCACATCAAAATTACCTAGATATACTGTCTGGGAGATGCAGGAGTGTGAGGTAATGAAAGAGCAGATATTTTGGCTTCAAAAGCAACAGCTTCAGTATGAAGTCTTCCATAACTGCTAAATATAAATTAAATGTTTGTTAAATCATCTTCTCTGTTGTCGTGATCCATGCTTATGTCCCTTGCCCATGAAATAGGAAGCTGTTATGGGGAGGGAGCAGTTAGAGTGCTACATTTTATTTATGTTATGGGTTAAGTGTTAACTACATGTAAATAAAGGAACAAATATTCAGAAAGGGCTCTGTTCACACTAATTTTGCATTGGGTTTATTGTGTTGCACCATTGTTTTTATAGATCAAATGGCACTCGATAGATGATGTCAAAATATAAGCTGATTGTCTTTTCTCCCCAGAACCCATTCCTGGTACCCATTTTAGGCCAGGTTTTTTTTTAAAATTTGCATATCCTTTACTGAATGTTGCAGAACCAACTTCAGCATTTTTTAGTTTGGTTTGACTAGCCAATTTTGTGTTCAGTAGTTTGCCATTGCAAGTACTTGAAACCTTGAAATAACGACTGAAATGGCATTATCTTATATAATTGAGGAGTCATAAGATAAATATGTCAGCTGTTGTCAGCTTGACTGCTCGCACCTGGGTCAGGGAATCTGAGCTCACCACCAAGACCAAAGTCCAGCTGTAAGCATTGGCTCATGAAACAGTCTACAGTCTGATGACCAAGACTCTGCAAGTTGAGTGGTTGATACAACTTTTGTAGTGTCGTCTGTTTGTAAAGTCTTCCCAGCTTGTCTTTATTGTGAGTTCACTTGTTGGTGACAATATTTTAATGTAATGGGACATCTATGTTAATGTTATAATCAATGCAGAAAGACTACTGATTGTGTGCACACAATTTA